ACTGGAGTTTTAGAGATAAAATGTCCATTTTCTGTGAGAAACCTTCTCATTTCAGAAGCTGTACAATTGCCAAATTTTTGCCTACAGGCATCTGGTGACTCTTACCAATTGAAAAAAAATCATGATTATTTTTGCCAAATCCAGGGCCAATTAATGGTGACAGGTACATCTTTCTGTATATTTGTTGTCTATACTTGGAAAGATTTATTTATTGAAAAAATACCAAAAGATCCTAGTTTCATGAAAGAGATGTTTGACAAACTTGCTAACTTCTTCCTTGAGCATGCTTTGAGTAAATTAGATTGTGCATCAGCTTGATAGTTCATCTCAATGTTGAATAATTGAATTAATTGATTCTAATGTATGTATCAATTATAAAAAAAAATGATTTGAATCATTAAATTATCTTGATCAGAAATATTCCTTGTTTTCACTATAGATACCGGTAGTTAAAGGCCGGGGGCGACCTAGATTTTTTGCCACCTGGTAAAATAGGCGGTGCTTATCTCCATCACTGTCAGTGCTGCTGATAAGAACTGCACTGAGCTGAGTCAGCTTTGTTTACAAATAACCAACAGTGGGAATTCCATTTCATTTTGTGTGTAAATATAAATAAAGAAGTAAAATCTGCGTGTACTGCAAATCTCTAATTATTCAAGTTTAATTAAGTATACAACATTTACTTATTAACACATAAATGCAGTGTATAAACAGTTAAGATTTTGCAGATAATCAGGACAAAAGTTTCAAAGTAATTACATGTAACTAATGGAGTTTGATTTAAAGTTCTTACAATTTGGGATATTTACACATGTCTCCTTCAAATAAAATCAATAACATCAGTTTCTTCTTTTAGCTTTGAAGACACTCTTCACATATCGTGTCCAAATATTTTTCCTAAATGAGAAAGTTAATTTTTTGTAGTTCTTTTTACCCTTAGCACTTCTTGGCATTCGGTGGTTTGGTCTCCAAACAGATGTATAATCTCTGTCCACGTTTTCATTCCAATGACATACGGCCAAATTGGATCTTGCTCTGTACATGTCATCAGAAAATGATATTCTTTTGTCCTGGTATACATTCATGACATTGTTGAAGCTTTCAACATAAAATGTATCATGACATAAAATGTAATCCTGTGGATGCTTATAAACAATAGAATTTTTTACGACTCCTAGCAACAACTTCTCGGCACACGGGTTAGAAATAACTTTCCGAGATATTTCATAGTTAGGATCCATTTTGCACCTGGAGGACAAATGACAATTTGAGTGATTGTTCTTGTAATGTTCTACTATGTTCAATAGATGTGCTTGAAGTTTTGCGGTATCTTCATCACAGTTTCTAATGGCCCAGTGAAAGTGAGTGCACACTGGCTCCACTTTGTCATCAAGTTGAGATGACCAGGTTTTTCCCTCAAGATATGCTGGCCCAGAAGATACTTTTTTCAAAGAGGACTTTACTGATTTGACTGCATGCCAGGTGTCATTTTGATTTGTAGACTCACATTCCTCACGGATATATTTATTAATCGACAGATTCCTGTCATGAGTATGAATTCCTACAGCTACATTTTGATCTTTCAAATGTTGGTATATTCTTTCCGTTCCGAGTTTTTCATGCCGTTGTGACACTTGATCATCAGATTTTGTTATGTGTTGACATGATAAAACTTTGTGCGTATTGTCCCCAATAGCCACTACACTGGAATCTTTGGCATTTTTGCGCCAGCCATGTCGTGCATCAGTCATTATATTTATACTTTCAAGATCTTCATATGATGCCACTTCCTCCAGAGTTGCTGTGTAGATGGAGTCTTCATACTCCTTTTGAATGTGTTTTTTAGATTGATTAAAAAACTTTTGCCTATCCTGTTTTGATATTTTTCCAATACCTGCTCCATCGGCAAATCTAGTGTAGTGTGATGGAAGCATCCCGCTGCATAATAAAGAATGGTTGACACGGTTATTTACCAAATATTCATTATTGGGCAAATAAGGAGATGATGACCACAGAAACGTATGCCTACACCCCTCTTCCTCGCATTGAAATTTGGTTGACATTACATGTCCTCTTTGTTGCACTTTCTTCATTTTTAAATTCCTTGAACAATTTTGACCATGGTATTCTGCAATTTCCACCAGTCTCCTCAAAGATTCTTCAGCACACAAGAAGAGTTTTTGATTTACATCCTTTTTCTGAACTTTTATGTAAGGACTAGGAGCTGGAGATTTTTCTTGGGCAGACTGTGCAACATCACCTTGGATGTCGTGTTCCTCATTTCTTTTCTCACTCCAAAGAGAAAAGAGATATTCAATGACTTGTAGATTTCCAACATGTTTGTTCAGTTTGCCCTCTAATTCACTCCTTAGTTTTTGCAAATTTTCCAAAACACTGGTTTTCTTACTTTCATCTCCCGATAATTCAATTCTGAAACTTGGTGTTCTCTTTCGTTTTTTCGGTGGACTAGACATATTCACTTTCATTCGCTATCTTTGTTTTGAGGTTTTTGGTTTTTACAAATAAATGTACAAGATACTAATTCTTGGAATATACTATTATTCTTTATAAAGGGGCGTTGGTTTACAAACATGCATAATTTTTTTCTTTAACTCAACAAATGATGCTGAATTGCATATATGAACACTTTATAAAAAGCCTGTATTTTTTTTTGGAACATTTTTAAAAAAAAAAACAACTTTATTTTTAGATATCTGCATCCAAGAAGCTATGTATATGCAATCTTGACACCCCTCACATAAAAATGGTCAGACTTGACACCTAATCCTATCTGTAGTTAGCACTTCCCCGCCAAAATCCTGATCTAGCATCTGACAATGACATAATCTGACCTTTCACTGCAGAGATGCAGAGGCACATTAGGGTTTCCTAATAAAGTTCTTTTTAAAATTTATCTATCTTAAAACATTTTAATTAAAAAATAATGATAATGAAGAGTATATGTTAAACATTATAATACATTTGTGCAGCTCTATGCACACATATGTGGTTTGTTTCTCTTTCTGCATGTAAGTATTAAATGTATCCCGTATGGTCCTTTTGAAATGGTTGGGCTTTCCAGTGTTACATGTGTAAATGTGTAGCCATCTTGGAATTTGCTGAGTACAACATGGAGGAAACAGAAGAGAAATCTATTTTAGCTATTGAAGTAACAGAAACTCAGAGAGAAACAATACGCCATCTATTTGCACACCATGAGTGGGAATTCAATGAGGTTCCAATTGAGGACAATGGAAACCAGGTCCAAGAGGAGCAGAACAATGATGATGTTGCTGATTTTGTTATTAATCAGAACGATGAAGAAGAGGAATGTATCCATTGTCTATGCCGTCCATGCATAACATCGGAAACCAACCGACAAATGTGGTGGTTAGAGGATCCGGAGGCACCAAACAGAAGTAATTCTCAGAGGAGAAAGGACAAATACAAAAGATTCTGGACTATGTTGTTCCATAGAAATGTATGGAAGGATCCAAGATATATACAGAGGAAAAGAAATGCCCTACAACAGGATCCGCGGAGAAAAAATTACATTTATCACAGGAGGGACCTTATGCCAAAATGTGTTGTGACCGTTGTGAGACATTGGCTACCTAATCCCAATGATCAGCCATACATGGGACATATGTAGGAGTGATTAGGAACTCAAACCTGTGTTAAAATATTTCTTTTGACTTGTGAATATTTTATTTTCATATAATTAAGTGACTGGAATATACTTAAATATATTAGTTGAGCTATCTTATCACTTGTTCACCTAAGGTTTGTATGAAAAAATATTAATACAGTAACTGTACATGTGTGTTTATTTTTCAAAACCTGTGTATTTACTATTCATTGACAAAATAAAATGTTTTTTCAGTCATTTTTTCTCCATAAATTATAAAAATCACTAGTGAAAACTATTTACAGTATAGTAATACCACGCAGAGCATGTGCTGCAGCACATGGCTACAGCCACTTCCTGTGTAAACAAAACACTGGTTATCTCCGCCTACTTTGTCAATCACTGAGAAGAAATTCAAAATTCAGTGCAGCTTCAGAACTTTATTCCTAAATTACTCAAGATATAATTTTTTTTTCAACTATGAAAGATGGACACTTTATTCACAATCAAGGTGGCTGCTTCCATGCCAAAAATTAGAATTTAATATGATCAAAAAAAGCATATTTTCTCAAAAATGCTTCTCAAATCTGAAAGCTGCATAGAAAGTTGAATTTCCCCAACATTTTTCGATTGGCTGCCTTTTATATCCGGGCCCCGGCCTTTAAGATCAAGCCTTTAAAGCAAAAGAGACTGTGCAGGTCTTATATATTCTGCACTTAAACAAGATCTGACATTCTTGGTAAAGGACTTACTTTCTTCTTCTGTTTGACAGGCAACATCACAATCTAAGACAGAATCTCTGTGTTCTAAAGGTTCTAAACTGTCACTGCTGAAAATATTTAAAATTGTTCTGAAATCCATTTTATTACGTAGGAAGTATCATGCACTTTTGAATACATTGGTTTACTTGAAATATCCTTTTTATTTTATTTCTGTGGGTTATTAGAAAGCACAAATTGTTTGAACATAATCTGTATGAATGATACACTTCATTAAATTAAGTTTGGATTCAATGAACTGTGCTCGGTCAAACCTGGTAGAAAAGTCTGTCAACTCATTGGACTGATGAGACATGTATACTATTTTCCGTCATGATCTCCTTAGTTCACCAGTTTGTGCATCACATGGATCTGGATAGTCATCAGATGGGCCATCTATTGAAATGAAATGCTGAAATTGAACAAATAAACTGATTTTAAAATTTATCTTTAGTAAGTCTCTATGCGACAAGAAACAAATCCATGACAGCAGTTCTCTGATACACCTCTCTCTCTCTATAAAATTATTGTATTTATACCCCAATGGTATACCAGGGACCTATATACTAAGTATATAGGTCCCTGGGTATACATAATGTCAGATTAATAATTTTAATTATGCTGTTTCATTTGTTGATTTACCAATATTTTAAACGTATGAGAACTAAAAAAATCCCGCAAATCCGAGACTAAAACTTAACATATATGATAAAGATTGGTTATAGATCTGACACACAATTATGACAATATGCACTTGAATGTGGTCCTAAATGATCGATCATTGCTTACATTGCCGCACTGCTGATATCCGGATATAGTGTCCACATTTCATTTGTACGCATTTGATTTGTAATATGTAGATTATAATGTCTATGATGTTTACCTTTGAACATATATACGTATGTTTCGTAATTTTGTCTACGTTGAGCTGATCGTGAGGTCGTCTTCACAAGGAAAACCATCGCAGGCATTTTTGTAAATCAGATTTCGGCTTGGGAAATGGAATGAATTTTGCTCCCATCAGCTTATCTGGGTACCTGCTATCGGATTTACACGTCCCAAGCGAACAGTGCTTCACCATGGCAAAGTACCAAATAATCAACTTTTAAAAAACAACGGATTATAAAGAACTTTTCTGTAGCATCTCCGTAAACACAGCGCCATTTTGTCCGACTGATGTCCGACCTCAGCGCAGATGCAAATGACGCGATAATGCAGCGATCTGATTGGTCAAAATTCACACACCCACATAAGAAATGGATCGGTGTATTCTCAGAGAGGACGAAACAACAAAGAAAATTTATAAAGACGTACAATTTATCTCCAGTAGACGTCAACCCAAGAACCTGAAGAGACTGCCGTGTAACTCTAATTTTGAAGGAACCCATTCAGTGACTAAATGTGGAAATCCTCGATGTGGAACCTGTGACCTTCTAACTGAAGGAACTTGTTATAACTTTAACGGCCGAAGATTTACAGTGAACGCCAATATGTCGTGTGACACACAAAATGTTTTATATGTGATAACCTGTCCAGGGTGTAGTGAATATTACATAAGTGAGACCAGTAACACCCTCCGTACCCGGGTTCGAACCCACAAGCAACAGATTAACTCCGGAGTATAGACAAATACCACTAAGTGAACATTTAGACGTGTGCGGACAAAAGAAATTTACGATGTTTCCGTTTTATAAAGTAGCAGGAGGAAATGACATTTGTAGACGTCAAAAAGAAAAACATTTTATTTGTGCGTTAAAACCAAAGCTTAACAATCTGATGTAATGTATTTCAATTCTTTTTAATTATGTATGCATATGTATATCTGCTCTTTATTGAGATCTTAAAATTTTCCCGTACTTTTACCTGTACGCAGTGAGCTGTTAACTATGACGTCATAGTACATTTGACTTCATAATAATGACGTCATACACTCCGCCAATTATTGTGTAACGTTACTATGTTACTACAGTTGTTAATTTTATAGAGCTTTTGAAGATAGAATAAAAGGCCTAAAGCTTTACTGAAGTTTTTCGTGTTTTTCTTTTTTATTTCAAGTATTTAATTCCGACCACTGAGACTTTTTATTGGATTATCTATATACTAATGTTACAATATACTATCTTGGAATCTCGTCTCACAGAACTACAAGAACTACTCTTTCAAAGGCACTATCCTAGACGATTGATTGAAAACGGAATAAACAAAGCAAAATCTCAAGAAAGAAAAGATCTACTTACAGTGAAAAACAAACAGGTAAATAATGTTTTACCATACGTATCAACACATAACCCAAAAAAAAAGATTTTCAGCATTATTAGAAATAATCTGCCCATTTTAAAGGATGATCAAAACATGAAAAAAATATTAGAAACTTCACAGATCATTAAGAGTAAACGACAAAGTCCGTCTCTCAAATCCATCCTTACAAAAGCATCATTTTCTTCTAACAACAATGAACCAGCAATCATCAATAGATGCAACAAGCCCAGATGCAGTACTTGCCCATACCTTACAGAGGGATCCAAATTTCAATTTAAAACTGGAAGCGAATTTACAATTAAAACATCGATGTCATGCACCAGCTCTAATCTTATTTATGTGATAACCTGTACCGGTTATGGTGAAAATTGTATTGCCCAGACAGGAGACACAAAATGACCGTACACCGACAACAAATTTGGGAACCAAAATACCAGTGTACCGCCGTAAGCGAACACATCAGAAACTGTGCCAAAAATAAAACCCCCAGTTTTACTGTTTTTCCTTTCTACAAATTCCGAAGGGATACTACAGAAAAAGAACGTGAAACTAAAGAAAAACATGTTATAAACAGACATAAACCTGTTTTAAATGCAATATAATTATATTTCGTTTTTAGAAATATTCTTTTACCCGCATATTATAACTGCACTATGTATACAAAAAATCTAATTTCCCGTAATAACTTACTAACGTATTATCATGACGTCATAATGAACTTTGCTAAAGCGCGACTAAGTATTGGCGCTTTATGACGTCTTAATATGAATGTTGATTTTGTGTAACTTAGCATTGGTTGAGTTCGTGTGTCAGCTATAGTCTAGTAAGGAAGTTTCTAATGCGCATGTCTAGTTGACTAAAGCACTCGAACGAAGTTTAGTTTGGTGTATTAGTTTAAAAATGGCCGTATGCAACAGGTCAAACATCGAGCTTTTAGCAATTTTCGAATTATTTGATGAGTATGAAGAGGAAATTTACTTCTTTGAACACTTATGCTACAATAAATTGTTTCATCTTTTGACTCATACATAAAGAGACAGTGTGCCGAAAATCAATAACTACATGGAAGTGGTGGACCAAATGAGTACAGTAGAAAATATCGACGATTTCAAATTTCATTACAGAGTGTGTAAACAATCTTTTGAAATTGTATTGGCAGAAATTGCGCTTGACCTAATACATTACAACACCGGTGGAAATGTACCTATTTCACCTGACAGA